TGCTTTACGAACTATACAAAACTTTTCAATCAAACATGCTTATGAACTCACCAACATAATATATGTTGACGTTTTCAAAATAACTTGTATTCTCAGGGACTCGTTGGACAGAAGAATCATCAAGAATATGGGATTTTGTTTTGTGTACTGTTAAACATCATCCAGTGAATGTTTTGGTCATGTAACTTAAAATTTTATACTTGATGTAAACAATGGCAGTTGTATTAAATTATGCATGGTGATGATGATGATGTTATGTTTCATTTATATTCACTGTAATGATAATTCAATTGTTAGTCACACGATCCCCCGGACGTTTCCGCCGTCTGGTTCGGGGGTGTGACATCTTCGTATTTGAGCAGGCTCTAGCACCAAAGATTTCTCATCTAAACTTTAAAAATGTCAACCAACTTGTTTTAAGTAATTTAGTTTGAGGTTTACCTATTCTCAAGTTTGATAATGATTCTTTGAGTACAACTTGTCAACAAGGAAAACAACACTGACAAGGGCATCAAATAATCATCGACTCGAAGATTGTTGAACCTTTCGAACTTCTACATATTAACTTATGTGGACCTTCGATATTTGAGTCAATCAATGGGAAGACGTACATATTGGTCATAATAGATGATTTTTCGCTCTTTACTTGGGTTCATTTTCTTCGACAAAAATCTGATCCCGCTCAAGTGATGATTCATTTTATAAAAAGCATTGAAATTAGTTTGAAGAAGAAAGTTCGATGAATCCAAAGGGACAATGTAATAGAATTTAATAATCAAGCTCTTGATTCTTTCTTCACAAATCTTGGCAGTTTTTATAATTTTTCAGCATCATACACACCTCAACAAAACGAAGTTGTGGAAATGAGAAATCGATCCTTGTGTGAAAGAACTAGAACAGTGCTTACATATTCAAATCTACCTCAATACTTTTAGGTTGAGGCTATATCTAAAACTTGTTTCACTCAAAACCGTTTTTTCATTCATCGAAAGGTCGATGAAAAGAGTTTTAAGAAGAAAATTCGATGAATCAAAAGTGACAATGGAATATAATTTAAAAATCAAGCTCTTGACTCTTTCTTCACAAATATTGTCATTTTTTTATAATTTTTTAGCACCATACACACCTCAAGAAAATGAAGTTGTTGAAAGGAGAAACCGATCCTTGTGTGAAGCAACGAGAACAATTCTTATATATTCAAATCTATCTTAATATTTTTGGGCTAAGGTTATTTCTACTACTTGTTTCACTCAAAACTGTTCTTTCATTCATCGAAGATTCAATATCAGCCCTTATGAAATCATTAACAAAAGGAAACCAAATGTTAAAATTTTCCATGTTTTTGGTTGCAGATGTGTCATCATGAATTTTGAAAGATAATCTTTCCAAATTACAAACAAAGGCTGATGAAGGAACATTTCTCGGATATTCACAAAATTTTGTGGCATATAGGGTGTTGAACAAAAGAACGTGAAGGATTACAGAGACTTTCAATTAAACATTTGATGATTATTATATTAAGAGAGTCGAGTATGAGTTTCCACAAAACTCAATTCTACCTACTTCTAATAAGGTTAATGAACAAATACTTACCTTTGGTGTTGATTTTGACTTAATCTTTGGTATTCCTGGTAGAGCAATCAATGTTGAGGTTAATATAGAAGATAATCAAGTTCCTGAAGCATTAAAACATTCTGATGATTCCATAGTTCATGATGGATGATCAGATGAATATGTAAAATTGACACCTTGTACTCATGTCGTAGAGGGTCAATCTTTGATACTAGTTTTAGTTGAGGGGGAGAAATTCATATCGAATGCTATAATTGAAGGGGAGCAACATAGAGTTGATTCATGTGTTCAGGGGGAGCAAGCTCAAACACATGTCGAAGATATCAATCTAGTGAATATCGAAGTTGAACAAGATACTCAAGGGAGTGTAAATATAAATGATGGTATTAATGACACTCTTTCTTTGCAAAGGAGTTTCTAGATGCAGAAGATATCTTTCAAGATGCTGACCTATATTTTGATACCTCATATCCTCCAATGGAGAAATGACTCGTAATCATCCCACCCCACCCTTCCTTAAATCTGTCTCTCTCACATGCATACTCACACTAGGCATTTAACCCAATATGATCTTTATTTGGATCTTTAAGTTCTTCCACCAATATCTTCATTTTCACATACTACAACACACAATTGAAAAACTCAAACTTGATCTACCATCTCGAACAATTCATTTTTCCTCCACTTTCTCTAATACTTAAGAAAACTCCATCGATGAAGCTCGAGACGTAATTCAATATCGAAGTATAATAGAAAATCAACAAGCATACATTTTATATTATATTCCTAACGCCATTGATGATCCTTTGAAGAAGAACACGAAGAGTCGTAGTAAAGGAAACAAAATCTCACGTTTTTGATGTATCTATTGCAAAAAATACAAAGTTATTAACAATCACCACCCCTATCTCCCTTCTCCAACGATTGTAAATACGTGGTTGCCCACCATCGTGAAACCACACTCTATTGCCTCTCTCATCATGAACTCATGAAGAAACAAAACATACGAAAAAAACTTCCCCCTCCCAATCGATGCCTCTGATATGGAAGAACTATGAAAATCAAACCCAGTTTCAAAAATCCCTCTCTCTCTCTCTCTCTCTCTCTCTCTCTCTCTCTCTCTCTCCCTCCATTTATTTAAAGCTTATCTTCGATTTGGGTTTTTTCTTTGAACAAATACACACATATTTACAAATCTAGGCCAATTTTTGGATGAAATCCGTGGAAGATGATGAAATAAGAAGCTTTATATTCAAGGAAGAAGAATGTGGTGGTTATGATTATAGAAAACTATGATATGAGGACGGTATCGTTGGAAGGAGGTGGAGTTATAAGTTCCATAGTATACGTATATATGGAGGATTTCAACCTTTATGAGGCCATTTACATCGGTTTTTGTTTGGCTAAAAGTTGAGCTTTGTGAAGTTGATTTGCAGGTGGGTCTCGATTTATTTCTCTTCTTTGCTACCATATTACACAAATAAGGAGACCCCAAAAACCTTATTCTTTCATTTTTTTTATCTTGGAGAGAGAGAGAGAGAGAGAGAGAGAGAGAGAGAGAGAGAGAGAGAGAGAGAGAGAGAGAGAGAGAGAGAGAGAGAGAGAGAGAGAGAGAGAGAGAGAGAGAGAGAGAGATGAGAGAGAGAGAGAGAGAGAGAGAGAGAGAGAGAGAGAGAGAGAGAGAGAGAGAGAGAGATAGATATATATATATATATATATATATATATATATATATATATATATATATATATATAGAGAGAGAGAGAGAGTGTGTGTGTGTATGTGTGTGAGAGAGAGAGAGAGAGAGAGTCCGTGGGAGGTGGGGGTAGGCCCTATACAAAAAACACAATAAAGTAATTAAAAGGGCAAACTGTCATTTTTGGTTTTTTAAGGACCAAAACCATGGAAATATTTTAATTTTGGAACTAAAACCATGACAAATTTTTATTTTTAGACTTTTCATAGAAGTTAGTAAATTTTTTGTATCATAGCCATAATTTTTTCTAAACCACAAGGACCAAATTTGCAATTTGGTCCCCTTGTAATGAAAATGAGTTAGGTTTAAAGGTGTGGTCAAAGTTTTACTTATTAAAAAAATATATAACATAGGCGCCCTATAAGTTTTTTATCGATTTTGCCACAATTTACCTATGAGTGAAGTGTTGTATTGTTTTTACCTATCAACTTTTTCCTTTATTTTTGTTTTAAATTCTACAAATATAAAAATTACTATTAAAGAAAATATATATTAATTAAAATAACATACTATTTCATTAAAATTTAGAAAATTACATTAGATTTAACAAACATTATTTTACTCAAATATTCCATGTACTAGTAATATATTGAAATATCCAACTACTTTTATGTATATATTCCACTGAAGTGTAAAAAATATATCGAAATATATATTATAATGATATGTGATTTACTTTTTGCCCGATAGAAGTTAATTTCAATTATAACCCAACTCAACGCAAATGACACCTTCTATTTGAACGACAAACACAACGGTTGAAACATACCATCGGTATAATACCGCTGGCAAAAAAAAGAAATTGGAGGCTGTGTTGATTGCCGATCATAGTGTCAATGTGGATTAATCGGTAAAAATTGCATAGAGAAATTAAATATTATCCTACTTTTGTTACTATAAATCCTCCTATCCAATTAAATGCTATTAAATATTATCCTACTTTTGTTACTATAAATCCTCCTATCCAATTAAATGATAACATGTGTTATATTAGTATATATTAAAATATCATTAAATGAGCATTAAATGTTACAGACGTCACTATTTAATTGGGTAAGAATATTTGTAAAAACAAAAAATAAGAAGATATATATTTAATTTCTCAAATGCATAACACTGTATAGCTTTAGAGTCAAATACAGTATTATTGTTGAAACACAATGTTTATAACCAGTAGAAAGTAGGTAATTATAAAATATTAATATAGTTATTATTTATCACCTTGTTTTTAATAGTAATTATATGTCTAAATTTTTAAAAAATGACATGATCTGATTATCATAGTGCTCAATGTCCAGGTGCAATTGTGATAATGAGACACAATTTTACCATGTACAGCTGTAAATATGACGACGCAGCCAAGCATGGATCATTGAATAGAATTACTTTGGGAAGTCCCCATTTGTATATTATACAAAGAAAACCACGAGTGAATTATAATATTCAAGCCTTGGCCTACAGAGTATTGAGAATGGTGTTAGACAATACTGCAATGGTGTTGACCCGGTCAACTACGCACATCCAATTCTAATGAACGCGCTGCAAGTTCAGTTGCTTTATCATATTATATACTATAAATACTATTAATTAATTAGTACGTATCTGTTGTTTCGGCTTTGCATATTTTTTTAATAAACGTGGAACATATTTAGCTTTCAAATCACCCACCACCAACGTCAATAATTAATGAAATAGAAAATTCGACGACATCCACAACGGCACCACCACCATCCAATTGCCAAAGCTGCCATGGATAGGCAAAGCTACAATCATGGAGGATCTTTGCTCTATCAAAGCCTAACATCAATATGGACACAAGCAGAAACACCAAGATAAAGATTCACGTCTCTAACTTTAGTTAAACCTATTTTTGAGAATTCGATACTATTTTCTAGAAAGTACAAGATTGTATTGAATAATGGGTTCTTGGTCGTTGTCAGCATCTTCACAACTACATGTAGCAGTGCTTTCTCAAACTCTCAGCTTTCTCTTTTTCCTCTTCTTTTCTAATGGTAGATCTACGCTTCTCTACCAGATTAATAAAACACAAACTATGATTTTGTTCTGAATTAATGCAATTTTATCTGAATTTGCAGGAGCCTTAGGGGTTACTTTAACTATTGTAAACGAATGTGGGTTCACTATTTGGCCCGCAATCATTAGCATTCAGAGTATAAATGAAACCGGATTTGAGCTCACAAAGGGTAGTTCTCGCTCTTTTCAAGTTCCTGCTATCTGGGATGGTAGTATATGGGGTCGGACCGGTTGCAACTTCGATAGCTCAGGTAAATGGTTGTGTGCCACAGGTGACTGCGGCACCAATGAATTCATGGAGTGTAATGTATATAAAAGCATACCTGCAGTCATACCACCGGCCACAGCTGCTGACTTCAGTATCAATCAAAACCAGGATTTTTATGATGTCAACATTGCCGAGGGCTACAACTTGCCAATACTTGTGGAGGCCACTGCCGGTTCAGGTTCTGGATTAAGTAGTTGTGCAAAGACCGGTTGTGTTGAAGACTTGAATCAGCGGTGTCCAAAGGAGCTAAGTTCAGCCGATGGAAAGGTATGCAAGAGTGCTTGCTTAGCTTTTGGCTCTCCAGAGTATTGTTGCACTAACTCGTTCTCGTCACCCTCATCGTGCAAGCCAACAGCATATGCTCAGTTGTTTAGATCAGCCTGCCCAAGATCGTATAGTAACACATACGATCTACAGACTACTACATTTAGGTGTAAAGGTGCCGATTACACCATCAGATTTTGTGCTGCTGCCGATTCATTTTCAACAATCAAACTTAGTGGCCAACTCAAATCTACAGACCAGCTTGTTTCCACACGTGGAAATTTCACATTAGGGTTCTTTGGTGAAGATTACAGTTACTTGGGAATATGGTACACAAACGATGTTCAATCCACAAAAGTGTGGGTAGCTAATCCAAATGCACCAATCATATCCACCTCAGGCGCTCATACCTTATCCATCAGTGCCAAAACCGGAGACTTGATCATCAGTGAAGGATGGAGAACTCTATTCAGCATCACCGATGTTAAAATTGGTCCAAACGCAAATGTGACTGCAACCCTCGAAGATAATGGTAACTTCCGGCTGATTAACCAAGTTGACAAAAGGGTTTTGTGGCAGAGTTTTGATCACCCAACCAATGTGCTACTACCTGGCATGAAGCTCGGGTATGACATGACAACAGGGCGGAATTGGACTCTGACCTCTTGGTTGAGCAATGAAATCCCTAAATCAGGACCTTTTACTTTGAGTTGGGAACCCACTCAAAAAGCATCCCAGAGGTTAATGATTCGACGACGAGGACGACCCTACTGGACTAGTGGGACTCTAAATAATCAAATATTTCAATATATGTTTGCATTGAATGGCCCAGGTAGTCAATCTATGTATAATCTCACTTCTGTATACAACAATAAAGAAAGATACTTTAGCTATGATGGTAGTACTTCTGTTTTACCCATGTGGATTTTGACACCAAAAGGCCAAATTAGAGATATTAATAACGCTACTGTTTGGAGCCCTGCGTTTTGTTATGGCTACGATTCTGCTAATGGTTGCGTGGAGTCGATTTTTCCTCAGTGCAGGAGAGAGAATGATAATTTTAGTAAAAAGAATGGGGATTTTGCTCAGGACATGACAGAAGGTGTTATTGATGGGAACTCAAGCTTAAGCATTAACGATTGTTTTGTTATGTGCTGGAATGATTGCAAGTGTGTGGGGTTTAATAGTAATACCACAATAGGAACTGGTTGTGTAATCTGGAAAGGAATCAATAGGTTTTCGGTTAATCCTCATGATAACTCTACATCAAAGTATGTGATCAGCCAAAATCCAGACAATCGAAGTACAGGTAATAATGTTGATTTCCGATGGTTTTTGATACCATTTAAAACCTCCTTAAAACTAAACAAACCAAAATGCAGGAAACAATACACAAAAGAGCAAGAATTGGATATGGATATCCATTAGTGTGTCCATTCCTCTTGTTTTACTAGGTTTTGGGGCTTTATGTTATATAAAGAAGAGAAAGCATAGACAAAAAGGTATAGAACCAGCAACGATATTGAATCTAGCTTATGTTTGTACTTTCTAGTTACATCTTTTGTTAAGTCGCTGATATTGATTGTAGAATACCAGAGACGGAAGAGAGATGAATATTTCGTGGAGCTGACAACTTCTGAAAGCTTCAAGGATGTACATCAGCTTGAACCAAATGGTGTGAAAGGAAATGATTTATTATTATTTAGCTTTGCCTCTATCATGGCTGCCACCAATGATTTCTCAGTGGAAAATAAGCTCGGACAAGGTGGTTTTGGACCTGTTTACAAGGTTACATTACTGTCACTTCAAACTTTTATGTTACATCTTATGGTTCTTGCATTTGTATATATATATAATATATATATATATATATATATATATATATATATATATATATATATCTATATATATATATATATATATATATATATATATATATCTATTTTAACAAAAAGATATATCATACAATTATAAAAACAGGGAAAACTAAGTGATGGGAAAGAAATTGCAATCAAAAGGCTTTCAAGAACATCAAGGCAAGGGCTTGTGGAATTCAAGAATGAACTAGTACTCATAGCCAAACTCCAGCATACAAATCTTGTTCGAGTTCTGGGTTGTTGCATTCACGGGGAAGAAAAGATGTTAATATATGAATATATGCCCAACAAAAGTTTAGATTTCTTTGTATTTGGTATGCATTGTTTAAAACATAAGTGCATTCAGTTCTTTTACTTGTGACATTTATTATAAACTTTTTCACTGCCTTGCAGATGAAAACAGAAAGGCAGAGTTGGATTGGCCTAAACGATTTATCATCATTGAAGGAATTGCTCAAGGGTTGTTGTACTTGCATAAGTACTCAAGAATGAAAGTTATTCATAGAGATCTGAAAGCTAATAACATTCTTTTAGATGAGAGTCTGAACCCCAAGATTTCTGATTTTGGTATGGCAAGAATATGCGAGCAAAATGTGACTGAGGCAATGACTAACAGGGTGGTTGGAACATAGTAAGTCATCTCTCTTGAATTATCAAAAATCGCGTTGTGTTATACGATTTCATGGTCAATCTATCTGCAAAAAAGTTTGATTTAGTATTACCAAGGAGAAATAACACAATGATCCTAATTTCGATATAGTATCTTTGAGACGAATTTGTTGTTTTTCTGATTCAATGCTATCTATTTTTAAAAAGTCTTGGTGACCATATTGTATTCAGTGGTTATATGTCTCCTGAGTATGCAATGAGGGGGGTTTTCTCAATCAAGTCCGATATCTTCAGCTTTGGAGTCTTGATCCTAGAAATTGTCAGTGGAAGAAGAAATAGTAGCTTCGTCAATCTTGATGACACATACAGTCTTATTGGATATGTAAGTAAATTCTGATTCAAATTTTAACAATATTACATACGATGTCCATCTTACATTATTGGTTCACACAATTATATATTATGGTTGACCAATGTATTCACGATGTCCAAACAGCTTAACTGATGTATGCCACATAAGCAAAGGGGATTTTACTAATTAACTTTTATCAAGCAGTTTATCCTTACCACTTTGTTAGAAATTAATGAAGGGAAAATGATCAAATCATTAATCGTATTTGGATGATTTAGGCATGGGAGCTATGGCAACAAGGGCATACATTGGAATTCAAGGATCCTACATTGGGAAATGCTTGTGATGTACAGCAATTCTTGAGGACTGTTCATGTTGCCCTTCTCTGTGTACAAGAGAATGCAATAGATAGGCCAACAACATCCGAGATGATCTCCATGCTTCTCAATGAATCCATATCATTACCCACTCCAAACAGACCAACATTTTTGATAGGTGGAGGGGACTCAAATTCTACTTCATATGAAACCAAGGCAGAAGATTTCTCCGTGAATAATGTAACCATCTCTGTTGTGGGGGGTCGATAGGGTATGAACGTAGCTACAACATATCATTCTTTGTGAAACCTTTCTGTAATATAGTTGGTATTTATTCATGTTTGTAGGAGGTACAATTCCATTTTTTCATACCTGCTACATGCATGCAGAATTGCCACTTCAGAATATATAAAGTACCTCTTTACAAGTCTATCTGCATTAAATATGTTGATAAATAACATTTTGTGGAAACTTCTGGATAACAGATTCATTATTAGCTCAATTTCAAAGCTTTCTGAGTTTAGGAAGTCTGGCGTTTATGCAGCCTGATTGGGGAGGAAACTGGTAACTTATCATAGAAGTAATGGATGTTACTAGCTAGTCTTATAATCATATCGTTCATGTATCATTGTTTATGTTCCTTATTGTTCCCCTGGGGATGATATTGTGTTCATTCATCCTGTTAAAACTTTATTAACAAATAATGTCAATTCCAATAGATACTTGTCTGATTCTTTAGTGAGCAAGTTTGCACTTTGATTGACAAAGATAGCTTAGCTGTTCTTTTAACCTTAAGAGCAGTACAGCTTTTGATGCTAATTTTGATATCTAAAATCATCTAAACTCCAAATTGAACCATATGAAATGATGGGCCTCATGGAAGTGTAAGGTACTCACGCATGGACTGAATAAAACTCTGTATAAGTAGATCTTCTGTAAGGTTCTGCAAGGCCACAATTACTCAAGTCATATATCTAAGTACTTTTCAATTTGAAAACTTGATTAGTTTGCTCTCTATACCACAACATAAGCACATTCACTTTAACATTCGGTTTACATTTAAAGTCATTCTATTAAATCCCTAAATTGCTCGATCCAGTCTTATTTTAGTTCTGTACATACACGGACAGGAACACAATTTGTGATGTGGCAGTGATGATTTGCATGGTTTGTCTCTTAGAACGGTATGTCATAGCACGGGTTTGAAGGTACATTGATTGTTTTTGGTTTTAGTTAATGTCTTCCAAATAACTTTCAAAATGATGGCTTAGAGCTGTTCCATCAAGGCTGCTGCTAATCTGATCCATAATCTGGTGGAATGGCGGCTTAACTGTTGCTGCTCTTTGCTTCCAGAAACCTCAGATTTCTTTGATTTTCCAATTGAATTATCAGGTGCCACCAGAGATCGAACAAAATAGAGGCATCGTCGAAATGTGATTGGACTACATTTGTCAAAATATATAATTAATTTATGAATTTTATGCCATCATAGATTTTTATATTCCGTTATCAGTTTAGGTTCCGAATTATATTAAATTGTCCACCACTAGAAAACAGCCCTTTAATGACACACATTGCGTGTCATAAAGGTAAAGGGGTACAGATGACAGACAAATTTGTGTCATTAAAGCCTCTGTCACAAAGGAAGACGACAAGCATACGCGTGTCATAATCTTATGACACACAATGACGCCACATATTGCGTGTCATTAAAGTCTCTGTCATAATGTAAGACAACACATATTTTTGTGTGTCATATATTTAAATGTTTTAAGAAAAAAATATGGTATTTATAGTTTTACTAATTTTCAAATTAAATGACAATTAATGTTTCTATTGATGTCAAATAGAGTTGTGAGGTGTCGAAGTATCATGAGTCCATCTTAGTGTCGAAGTCTGTATTTCAGCTTTCGTTGTATGTATTTCATAGGGGCACTTTTGTATGTCGAAGCTTACTAGATTTAGCCCTTATGTATTTTTTGTAAACTTCTGTCATTCCTATAAATAGGGGATAGGTACTAGAGATAGTGTGACTTTTGAGCCTTCGTTGTTCTTACTCTAAGAAATCCTCTTGTATCTTCAGAAGTTTAGTTAAGCCATCCAGATTATATTTACTCTTGTGTTCTTCATGTTCTTAATTCGATTTAAACTCTGATTTCATTTTGGTTTACTCGATCAATACGAACTACATTTTCATAATACAAAATAACGTATCATAAAAAAAAAAGACAATCCATTTCACAATACACAATATGTCAAATACAAATGATCATTTCGATGTTAAATAAATGTAATACATTGTTATTAAGGGGCTCTAATAATACATTCCTATTAAGGGGACATCCCTAACTATATAATATGTTAGTACACTACTATTAACGGAGACCTGCATGTTTCACATATCATGGTAAACAAGCCTTGGTGTCATTGGTTTCCCACCAGGTATACCAAGTAAAAAAAATGCTAAATTGGTGTCATAGGCGGTTACAACCAGGTGTGGATGGCAACTAAGGGCTTGGAGCATTAGCTAGAGGTAACAAATATGTCATATCAATTCACATGACACTTATTTTTGGTGTTAGGACCCGTATTTGTCAAAATCTCATGCTCCAACTTCCTTGCTGCAAATTCATGTGGCAAGTTCCTCTCTATTATGCTATTCAGTGTCACGTTGAAAAAAAACAACCAATTCACCTTATTAATCAATTAACGTTAACTAATATAAAATGATTAATGAACTTACTATTAAGAAAAGAAAGAAATTGACCTTATTGTACATGTTCTTGGTGTTGGAGATAACATTGAAGAAAGTAACCTTATTGTACATGTTTTAGGTGTTGGAGATAGCATGTACCCATCATTAAGTTAAATTGTAACACCCGGTCCTCACAGGTAATTTTTTTTCGGTATTTTAAAAATGTAAGTTTTGGAGAGCTTGATCCTACACGGGGCATAGGGTAATCTCTTACGTAGCGCGTAGGAGGGAATCTTGATGCGGGGGATTAATGATCCACGCATGGCGTAGATGTAAGTCCCAAAATTAGCTTGATGTATCAATCCGATCCACTTGATGGTGCGGAATCCCAATCAAGTGGATGATGCAAGATGGAATGGAGAAGAAGAAGAAGAAGAAGAAGAAGAAGAAGAAGAAGAAGAAGAAGAAGAAGAAGAACTTGATGAATCTATGGTGTATTCAATAATATGAATGATGTTCCATACACATAAGATCTACACACACACACTCTCTCTTCTTCTCTCTAGTTTCTCTCTCTAGAACACCTTGATTTACACACACACTTGACCGTAAACTCTCTCCTCCATCTGACATCTACTGACACTATTTATAGGGAACAGTAGCCGTAAACACGTTTACAACCTTAAACATGTTTACAACCGTAAACACGTTTACAACCGCAAACACTATACAGACCGTAAACATATATGGACCGCAAAACCAAGGCCCAAACCCAATGGTAGACCGATAACACATGGGATTTCGATCCAAGCTACAATTAAACCCAATGCTGTTTTCGGTCCTAGACCTAAAACTATTAAAGCCTAGAAAAGTAAAGTATAAACCATATTTTTGACCCAACAATCTCTCCCTTGGTTTATAGCTTTCTTTTCTTTTTGACCCAACAAACTCCCCCTAGGTTTGTAGCTTGCATTTCTCTTCAGTCTTCACTTTGTGCTTGGCTTCAGCTTTAATCTTCAATTATTTCACGACTTCAAGATGAACATATGAATCTTCTATGTGAGTGAGTTCATCTTGAGCAGTTGGGCTTCTCTTCAAAATTTGACATTGAACGCACGTTGGGTGTAGAGGCTTGTTGTAGAGATTCTTGAAAATCAGCACTTTCAGCTTGAGAATCTTCGGAGAGAATGATAGAGAGACCGATTCTTCTGGATCACTTCAGCAGGTACATAGATAGCAGCAAATTGATTGAGGAGGCTTCAATGCAATCTGTCACATAATCTTCAAGTACAACTTCACCTTGCTTCTGGAGTTAAAAGAATGAGTGTTGAAAGGATAATCTTCATTTCTTGTTCCTTTGAATGAGAATTCTTCGACAATCACGGATGAATCTTTGGCTCAGAAAATCTCGATACAGTCTTCATGAGTCTCATCTACATCTAAATCACTTTTCAAGACAAAGAAAAAATTTGAGATAAAAACAAAACTAAAGGAAAACTTAGCACACAATTTTTTTGGATTTTTCATATTTTCTAAAAAAAATAAAACAGAAACAAAATTATTTTTGGATTTTTTATATTTTTCTGAATAAGAAATAAAACAGAAATAACAATATTTTTGGATTTTTGGTTTTCTGATTTTTTGTTTGGTTTTTTTTTAATTTTAATTCTCCCCCTAAGCTTGTGCATAGAGAAAAACTATGAACAAATTTAACCAAAAAAAATAATAGCTAAATTTAAGACTAATTTGGGATCAAAGTTGTCAGGCAATCCAATATCGTTTATCAACACACGCCTACATGTCTAGATCTGGTCAATCATCGGTATTGTGGTCCACTTAAACACAAAGGATATTGACAAATTAGACAGATTATAAGTGACAAGTCATTGTGATCTTATTCCTAAATAGACCATTTGGCTGACGACGACCATGGATATTGTTGTCCACTTAAATCCAACAGTGAGATCTACAGACAACCTATTAAATGGTTCAATTTTAGATGTACTAGAACGTGTTTCCCACTTCCCGACATACCCAGGTAATCAAGAACTTCCAAAGAGCTCCTTACTTTAGGTGAGTATTCAATCATTTAGAGAGAAGTCGGATATAGAAACGCATATGTTGTATCCCAGGTCGGATGTCTTCCAATCACACAGAGGGAACAACATATGACTAATATAGATAGAGGATTAGAGAGATAGCAGGGTGCATATGATGTGTCCCAGGTCGGATCTTCCGATCACATAGAGGGAACAACATACGGCAAACAGACAGAAAGAATTGCATAGATAAGGGTATGCATAGAGATAGAGTTGCATATGTTGCATTCCAGGTCGGATATGTTCCAATCGCGCAAAGGAGGCAACATATGACTGACAGATAGACAGCAAGAAAATAATTTCCTACAGACCTACTTTATCAGAACCCCCCATTCACCCTATCAGAACCGGAATTAAGGACATGAGTCCATACATCGAGGAAATGTTAAGCCACAATTCTAGATACATATGATTTTTAGTGTATCATGCAGGTTCCCATGTTTATCTCACTGCTCAATCTACCCGAGCATCGTATTGTCAGTCCAAATAGAACTATCTAATTCCATATTGTTAAGTCCTTTCATTTTCAATCTATGTCTAGTCCTTTTGAATCATTTATGCCTACCAGCACATTGAACACAGAGTCTAGACAATTTAGCTTCAGTGCATTACACGAGTTTCATATTGCCCTTTAGCACTAGACTTCATATCACTTCCCAAACAATACCTACAAACGAAAAACTATAAGAAAATAAAAGATTGTCTTCAAAACGAATCATTGTAAGAAAAACTCAGGAGTATCGAGAAGAAAACTCAAACTGTGAGTCACCAATTGAATTTGCATCCAGAAGGTCTGAAAACAGCACGCATATTTCAATCTCAGAACAAATTCGAAAATTCATCACATCGTTAAGAACAAACCC